AATCTTTCAACCATTTCAAGTATTTGTTTAAAAGCCTCCCAGAACACGTGTGCTCCCAACAAAACTGAAGAATGAAATGTTTAGACCACTGAAGCTCAACAGCTGACTTATAATCAACCTAATATGAGAACACTGCTTTGGTTTTTTTGACTTCTGAATACATTTTATTTACCAATGCATGAGAAGAAGAAACAGAGAAAAGTCCAGTTCTGCAGAACTGATGTGAAATGATACAGCAATAAGTTAGTACATGTAACGCTACAATCACAGCAAGCACAGTATCAGAGAAACTGCCAGTCAGTGATTTCATGTGCCTTATGGTTTATTTTTGCATGGGAGAAAAATATTCTGGAGTACAAATTAAAAAGAAAGAAAAAAAAGACCTCAAAACCAAAAAACCGCAACAAACCTAACTGTCTTCCTGACTGTCTAAACGAAGAAAATAGAGGCACAGAGAAATCCTGACATTTAGATAAGAAGTTCGTTTGTGTACATGGATTAAAGATGTTACAACTCTTGATCACCTGATAAGAATATTTATAAAGCCATTCAATTTGAAAATTAAGGTATCTTGTAAAATGCCCTGTTATTTGGAATAAATAAATGAACCTATGACAACATATTGACATTAGTAAAATACTTCAATATGATGGTTTATTTATAAGTTCTAATATAAGCAGTTCTAATATTCCCCTACATTAACAATTAAATAATGAATTCTTACGTTCTTGTGAATATATTTAAAGAGGAATCAAACCAACTTCATCTACAGGATTCCACTAACAGGACTGAGCTGTCTCTGAACTTTTCAAATACCAGCAGTTTTCCCTACACCAGTACAGAAAACCATGCCACCAATTTTGGGCTGTAGGCTGAATGAAAAGCAGTACTAAAAGACTAAAGGTCCACAGTTCTTTTCTGTTAAAGTTGATTTGTCACAATATTGTTAATTAGAGAGGGCTTAGGGAAGGCTTACTATGAATATAATTACAGTGCTGAAAAGCATTAATAACACTCTTATCCCGAGCCAACATGATGCTATTTACATATTTTACCCTGGCATATACCAGAAATGGCTTCCAATGCATAACGTGCTTCAGGATCATCAAGAGAAACACACAAAATCTCACAAGGAAAAGATGTTTCTGAGTATCTCAGTGCTCTTCAAGACAGCAGGAACACTAATCTGACCAGTAATTGCTACCATCACCATAAGCATTGCCTACGGTGAGCCACCTTTCATCATGAACTGTTATTCCATCAGGAGGCAAATGAACTGCTACTCCTAGTATATAATCCAATGCAATCTCATCTTTCTCTCATAAATTAGGACAGAAGTGACAATTGCATTTGTCTGCTGTATAGGGGTAGGCTTCTTTTCACTTTCAGAGCACTATGCAGACATCAATCAGTTCATAATTTATAATAAAAGCCAATTAACCTGTGTTACCATTACCACTTATTTCTACTCGCCAGACCAGAATTCCTGCTGTTGTTACACTGAAAGACAGAACTTAGATTGGGTTCAACAGTGCCAGAAATTCACCTGAGGGCACTAAAGTCTGGGCCTGCATTACTAGACTTGTGTTCACTTCAGCTGGTGAAGAAGCAAAAGTGTTTTGACATTGGCCACACAGATGCTTTTGCAAACTCCCTCGAGGAGCCTAGGTACCTCTTTAGGGGCTGCATACCTTTTATGACTGTCACTAAGGGATTTGCCAAAGACCACACACCAGGTTGTTAGCAAGAAAGAGTGATAACACAACCGTTTTTGAATCTTTGCCTCTCAGCACAGTAAATTTCCCAAGGTCCTTTTCAAAGAAGACAAACAATTCCTGCTGAATTTTAAAATTGACACCTAATTTAGTTATGATCCAAAGTAATTTACCTACAGGATGATAAAACCCCCTAACTAAAAGCCCACTGAATTTCAGGCTACTTTGTACAAGACAGAGTTAGGAAACATTTTTTTCACCTTAGGTACAATGTATAAAAAGGAAAATTATGAGGCAAAATTACTGCCTAATTTTATAGAATCATGTATTACCCACAACCAGATGTATCTGACATCAAGTCTGCTAGATGGGTTTTGCCTATCCAATCCTACTTTTCCAAACAAAGCCAGTGGGCACAAGAGGCTGGAGGTCAAACAGTCTTGCTGTATGAAGCCTGCACTCACAAAATTATTTGCTCAGAGGTGGAAAGACTTGGGCGAAGGTGAGGAGCTCTTGATACTCATAGGGGAGGGAGGAGCTTAGCACATTCATGCATGGATAAGAAGCCCTGATTTAGTAAATTTGCATTTCCAAAGTAGCAAAAAAGCTTCCTCATGAAAGCTGCCATGGAGTAAGAGGGAAGATCTCTAAAATTTAAAAATAAGTAGTTCTAAGTTAGATTAAAACAATGGGTAAAAATAAGTGTAACATTTTCACAGTGAAGGAAAGTTACCTTATTGTCCTATAGGGCTTTTGTCCCAGGGCCCATGTTGTTCAACTAAGAAATCACCTTGAAAAGGGAGTTAATTTGGAGATGGTGGTATTTTATGTCACCATATTCAGCATGGAAATGCTGCTGATACTATGTTACTGTGAGTAATAAAAATAAGGTGTGAAAATGTATGGAGTAGGAGCTCATGGTCACCAGGGAACGCATGATAAAACAACAGATGACATTCAGTACCCATAAATGCAAAGTTATGCATTCAGAAAACACTTCTGTCTTCATACACCCTACGATGAACCCTGAGCTGAATATTACAACTGAGAATGAGATCTAGAATTCTTTTTATTATTACAGAAATATTAATTCCAAGAAACCATTTGTCATAAAAGAAATCCAATGCTACAAATTACTACAAGTAGCATAGAGAATAAAACAGACAACATCATTGTGACAACTGTTAAAGTCATGACTTGTCTGCATCTTGAATATCAGGCACAAATCTGGTTGTCTCAGTAAAAACACTGCAGAACTGGAAAAGAAATAGATTAGCATGACAAGGCCAATTAAAAACATGACACACATCCTTTACAGGAGACGAGGGGTTCTCTCTGGAAAAGATATGCTGGGAGGAGGACACCAAATATGTAAAATCACAAGGGACATGAAAACAATATTAACAAATGGTTGCTCACTGTTCCTCTACTACAAAAACTAGGTGATAACAAATGAATAAAGCTGGTTCATAACACAGAAAAGGAAATAATTATTCACTCAATGCATCATTAACTGCATAAGTCCTTGTGACAGGAAAAAGTAGATACTAAAAGTTTAAATGCATTAAAAAACAGGTAATGAAAAAATGCTGCTAAATACAAAGACACCACTTTCGGTTCAGAAATCTCCTAAATAACAAAACTGCTGGGACACCATCTGGGAGAAAGGTTACTAGTGCTAGCCTGACTTTATACCCTTTCCTAGGCATCTTCTACTGCTTATTGACAAAGTCAGTCTTTAGGCTAGTTGGACCTTTGGTCTAGCACAGTACGGTAGTCCTTATATCTTTATTCTTTCTTCACCACTTCTCTAGAGCAGAAATGGTTCAACAGCAGTGACAGCTCAGGAGATCATGTCTTTTGCTTGGTGCACTAAAGCTCAGTGAAGACAGGAGGAGAAAAAGTAGTGGCCCAAGTACTGGACTGCTAGCAGCACATGGGAGATGGTGAAAGGGCTGGGAGCTGAGCAGTGACAGTCCTCTGCTATGGAAGCATTAAACTTTCTTCCCACTTGATAGGTGGAGGGGAGAGAGACTCCAGACTCTCTGGCTATCTTAGGATTGACCACAGGTCAAAAAGGAGCACTTCAGAAGTTTGTGGAGGTGACATGGGTAAATTTGGCTTGTAGGAATGCTACTTATCTCCCTGCAAGTGCTTAGGTTTGGTTGAATGAAACTAGGAGGAGTTTAGGTCTGCAGACGATGAAGGTTTAACATGGAAATGCTTGAAAGGAAAAACAGTCATTGAAATGTCTTCCCCTATCTAAAATTAAAATTTAATTTTCTTCAGCTAGACTGCACTATCATGACACCTGTACAAGCAAACACTAAGAGGGAAGACAGCATAACATTAAATACAAAGCAGAGTAGGCAAGAGGAATATGACATCTGTGTATCCCAATTTTTCCTCTCCACAACTTTGCCCCTCGCCGTAGGAGTCTATCCTTCCACCTTTGAGTTCAGTCCTAGGGCACTTCAGGAGTACATAGAGCAGAGGGTTGGCAAGCTGGCCTCAAACCCAGCCTGGATGGTACTCCTGCACTACAGAGCAATCAGAGGTCTAGAAGCAGCAGACAAAAAGTCTTATAGGAAGGAGGTGATGAACCCACCCACTTACACTAAAAAGGCAAATTTTAACTCTACAAGGCGGTTTCTGAATATCTGAGAGATTTTACCTCAAAGGAAAGGACAGATGATTGGCTATTAACAATACAGGAAACCTCCTCCACTGTCTAAGATATTTTACGTCGCAAGTCTTTCCTGTCGGGATTTATGAAGCTGTACCTCTAGTGAAACCTAACCGTACATTTCTTTCTAACGTACACTGAAAATGTCATGTACTAACAGTAGCTATACAACTACTGTATAAAGCTATACATGTATCCTTCCATTAGTTGTAGCCACAGTCACTATCTGCAATTCAGCGGGCTGGGTAAGATGGAAAAAATCTCCAGTACACTAGTCATAGACAGTTCTCAAATGTGAACCTACTTTATGAATTAATACATTTAACATTCAAATACTGGACTTTTTTCAGTCCCACAGATGACATGAGATTTAGATTTTGAAACTTGTTGTGCAGGATTTTGCACCTGAAGCCTGCAGTATTTGAAAATGTGATCAAGCTGTGCCTTGCAGCAGACTATAGTCTAGTAACACCGAGAGGACAGACTCTTAAAATAAGCATCTACATCATTTTCCACAGTACACAGTGCCACAATGCATCTGCTTAAAAACAAGTATCTGTTTGCAGTGAAACATTTCAACAAATCACAGAACTCAGCAGCAAAGTAGTTAAACATTTATGATTTGATTTTATCTCAGCTTGGAATGTCGCTGGAGTGTCCCACTTCTAACAACTGTTTGCTAAGTTAAGGCTTTAGTGTTTACACAGTGCTGAATGAAGCAGCCTGGTCACCAGATGTGAATGCTTCCTTAGACTAGAGCTTTCAATCAGATCACGGTCCTAATGGTCCCTGCTCCAACCTTCTTCCTCAGGACGTCCACCAGCCTTTCCAACCTGAAAGGGGGCAGGGGAGAGGGAGAGGAGAGAAAAAAAAAAGGAAGCTAATGTTAGGAATGTTCTGGCTGAAAGAGACAGTGTTTGCACTGAACCAAGCTGTCCTGGTGGTGGTCATGCTCAGAAACAAAGCACTACTGTAAAAGACAGACATTAAGGGAAAATGCAGACAACTTACGGAAAACTTTTCAACCTACAACCCAGCCCATTTGAAGGCAGTGATATATATCAACTCACTTTTCTTTTGTGGTATATGTAGTATCTGAGGTCCCTTTAAGGCATCAATGCAAAACCCTGTGCAGCAGTCCTGTGGCACCTATACACTTTAGTCTAAGCAGGACATTCAATTCTTGCAGTTTTTAAAATATGAGCGGTTCATGGCTCTCATTAAATGTAACACTTAGCTGCTGTTTTCCCTTAAAAAGTACCTTGCCCATTATCCAGCAGATACTTTTATTGTCCAGTTTATAAATTTATGCCTAAACCCCCACGTGTTTTATGTAAAAAACTTTTCAAAAAACGAGCCAAGTTTCTGAGGATGTGGAAGATGGCATTTTGAAGGTGGCCAATATGATTGTCAACACAACTACAGAAAAAATAATAATCTAAGTAAGTAGAACAGAGAGCTGCCTAATCCTCTCAGTTTTAAGGCAGAGATTATAAGCATGTCCAGCATCTCACTGGCTTAATTAATTCTTTCCTTTTGTTAAAATATGTAGGTGAATGGAAAGGGCTAAATTTGTGCAGAGCTCTCCATTTGCACACATTTATCTTCAGCACTCCAATAATCATGCATTCAAGGTATTCCTTCAATTTATCTGTATTTCATGGAATCCTTCAGTGAAAGCTGTCCTACAAATAAACTAACAATATAAAAGCAGACACTGTGTGTAGTAGAACAAGTCAAGAGCTGTGTCTAGCATATTATATACACAACTTCCATAATGGATAAAAAGAGGTGCAGGTTCAAATAGTTGTATGCACTGTTGCAAAGGTGACCATTTTTTTAATAGGAAAAGACAGTCTTTATTTTCTTTTTTCCCCTAAAACATTACACAACATGAGGAATGCAGATAGGAAATAAAAATAACAGCTTTACCAAACCTGAAAAATTCATTTTATCTCATGGATGCATTAGTAACTTCAGTGTAGGAAAACTAGTTAACATGTCTTGGATTTATTGCAACAAGTCATGACTAACGCATATGGTACGTATTGAAACACTTGTTTTCCAGGAACCACCAAGCACCAAGAAGCTACACCTTTCATTGTACTCACCAGGTGACTTAATTCCTGAAATGAGATTAAGAATTCACCACCCTAATGTAATTATCAGACACCAGGAAATGTATGTGAAAAGTTCATCTGGTTCAAGCTGTTCCACAGGGACTGTAAAGGAGTGAAAGCACAGGTGAAAAAGTACTGCTTGGCTACTCCTCTCCCTTCAGTTTTCTGAGTACTGCTTTCCCTTTTTAACCAACTAGCACATTTTTCCTGATTTTGTAATGTACCTCTACTGAATTTCTTTGTCATTATGGAGGCAGCATCCAGTCATAACTCAGTACAGTCAGTCTATGCAGGTAGAAAGTTAGGGCTTTCACAAGTCATTTGCTCCTGAAAGTTTTCTCACAGTGGATAAATTGATGTTTTTAAATCAGTGTTTACTGATAGGTCATACCTTCCTCAGCCTCTCTTACTGAGAAGTTTCCCTGTTAAATCAGTTAGTTCATGTGAGATTTCAGATAGCAATGGCAGATCAATCCTCACTTTTAACAGCATATATCTTCAGAAGCATTGCAGCTTTCTCAGCTACTTTAACTATCACTGTAGGTCTCTCTCACACTAGCACCCCCTGTAATGTGCATCAGAGACATAAAGCATAGGAGAAACATTTCAAACTGTGTCCAAACAAAAGGTTTGGGCTGAAAATTGTTTTCTGGAAGATAGCAGAAAAATAGTAAAATCTGAGATCATGGCTTATTTAAATCATTGTTCAGTTCAAAACAAGTACTGTGTGGCTTATACAAGTGCAGGAAAAATTACTTCAATAATTAGGTTTCTTTTGGGGAGACAATAGGTTGGAGGTCATGGCTTACACTGTCCAGCAATTTGGCTTAGATGTGCACCACTCTGTGACCAAGCAATGACACTGCATGCCAGAGCAAAACAAGTTAGCAAAAAGCTGCCCATGTTTGAAGAGAAATACCACTGGGATGAAAGTAGCTGTCTTCTGTTTAACCTTGAAACTGTCAGGCTTCATTGAAAATAATGAGGCTTAACAATCATAGCTTCTGCTTTTCAAATGAATGATGACTGAAATCATCAAAATGAGGTATTCCACACCAAATACAAACCATGCAAGGATTATTTGCCTTTTGTTTCAGCCATGTGTGGATTTGCAAATTTATTTATTCTTTATTAGAAGAAAGAAAAAAAGCAGCAGGGGATTAAGAAACTATACTTTTGAAAGAGATTTAAACAATAACGCAAAAGAGAGACTGTATCAGCTATTTATAAGATAAAATAACAGAGGGCAAAATTCACCCCTACATAGACACAAGACCCAATATGCCTCTGAAATCCCACTTAAGCCTACAAAATAATGCTGTGTGCTGTATCAGTGGTTAATAACTCTGCTTATGGGCCTCAGGGGCCTTTTTGGAACGATAATCCAGGACTCTGTTCACCAGTGGCCCAATTCTGCCATCCTGACTCACACTAAGCTACATTTGAGTTTGTGAGTCATAAAAGGCAGCTAACAAGGCCATTTGTGCTAATGAGGTCCTACCTGCCAGGGGTGCTCCTTGTTGATAAGGCTCTACCCAGCCTGGTGGGATGTTGAGGCAGACCCTTTAGAGGCTAGGCATTTTAATCTCTGGTAAACTGAAGGAATAGTCTTATACCTCAAGATCAAAGGTAACTTCAATATCCAAACAGACAAATGGGAGGTGCTGGGAACTAGTCTAAAAGTCTTAGTGTTCTCAAGAATTCTATTCAAAATACAGAAGACACTGATCTGAAGAAAGCAACTTTTATTACTTTATGCAACATGATATATTCGCCAGTATAATCTCACCATACTTTACTTAACTAAAAGTAGTGCCGACTATGTTTGACTCTATCCTAAGACACAGATTTAACAAATTACATTTGTCTTTTTGCTTGTGAAGGGAACAGTCCTAGTAATACAAATTAAATGTACAATATGGCAGTATCATCTCCTGAGATGTAAGCATGGACAATCACTGAATTTGATCTTATGAAGCAACCAAACAAGTAATTCAAGAAGAAAGTATTTGGGTTTGTATTTTAGGTCAGAGAGAAGAATGATATGATGGGCATCTCTGCTTCAGTGCTGGAGCTCCAAATGTGCAGGGACAGACAGGCACCTTCGGGAATGCTCAACAAAGCCTCTTAAGGTCTCACTCTTCATTCTCACAGATTTCAATTCCTTGCTTAGAGATTTTGGAAAACTCCAGTAAGTGACAGTTGGTATTTCTTGGTCCTTAAATAGTTCTAGAAAATCTGTCCCTTAACAAGCAAATTCTCTTAGCAAATACCCCTTCAGCATTCTCTGCACTATTACTGTATGTCTGCATGCAAAATGACATTTAAAATACAGGAACTAACTATGTGTTCAGATGGATAGGTACCACTTCAGTTTTATTTATACTGACTTGAACACACCTGAGGTCAAAAAGCCCTGTGTTTTTCAGGATAGATGGAAGCGGCATCTATGGAAAGCAAAAAGATGAGAGCTAGAAATATTCTACATTCCTTACTTCTGTGATGGTCATCTCAGTGTTTCCATGAAATGGAAAAATAAAAAAACAACCCCCAACTACAAAGTTGGAAAGAGACATCTGGCCCATCATTACTTTTAAGTTAGCACAAGATGCATCATTCTGAAGAATCTTGAATTGCAGTGTCCTAATGCTTGCTCAATGCAAACTTGGAAATAAGCAGATGAATCTGTGTTTTAACGCAGAAATAAAAAAAAAATATTGACGGGCTTGCTGTTATATTACAAGTTTGAATATGTACTTTTAAAAAAGTTACTAAGTTCTAAGAAGGTCCTCATGTTTAGAGGAAGACTCCCTAAACAAGAACATTGCTAGGTGCGTCTTCCCCAGGACAAACTCCCCACCATTCTCAGTTCCTCTTCCAGTTATTTCAAACTGTGTTCTCTTATCACTTATGCACATCTGAAAAACTGCCTGGGTGGAGTGCATGATGTTATATGGAGTGTTCTTACATAGCTCCTGAACTGTTAGACAATGTTTTGATTTTTAGCAAAGTCTTACAGAGTTCTATTCCTCTGAGAATAAAGAATTTTGTTTTTAGAACCAGTTTCCATAAAGCAGACTTAAAAACCTTACTGTGTTCTGGGAGCCTAGAAGCTGGTCATATAGCTGCAAAACCATTACCTATGGGTCTCAACTGCTGACTCTTAAGTGCATTTTAGGCTTACTCTCCCCTTTCATGTGTTCTGCTGAAGAAGTCTAGCTTGAAACTAGACAAACTTGTAGTTTGGGATCAGTAAAAACTATGCAACTGCGTAAATCCACAAAGATCAGTACATCCTCCATACTGCTCCATCTCTGGCCAAAGCAACTCACCCTAAAAGGAAAGCAGTAGCCTTTATCCACAATTCTGAATATGACACAGTTAAATAGCCACAGAGTGCTCTTCCAGGGCATCATGCCCTAGAAATAGCCAAAATGGATACCAAACTGAAAGAAAAGGGCATACTTCAAGTAGCCTATGTCCTAATCTGCAAAGCAATATACAGACTAGCAGAAAACAATAGCCTCCACCTGCAGATGGAGGAATTAAGTGATAAAAACAAAACCCTCCTGGATTTTGAAATGCTATATAAAGGCTTATGAACCTAAACTATAACCCTTGGTTATCTTTCCAGTAGATAAGATTAGGCTCAGGCTACGAAGATGGCCTTACTTGCATGATTCCTGACTTTTTGTGGAATGTGTTTTGCTAAC